GCCTGTAATCCCAGCACTTTGGGAGGCCGAGGCAAGTGGACTGCCTGAGCCCACGGGTTCTAGACCAGCCCAGGTAACTTGGCAAGACCTCATCTCTACAATAAAATAAAGAAGAGCCAGGCGTTGTAGTGTGTGTCTGTAGTTCTAGCTACTTGAAAGGCTGAGGCGGGAGGATTGCTGGAGCCCAGACGCTGGGGTGGCCGTGAGTGTGTGTGCCACTGCACCCCAGCCTGGGTGAAGGAGTGAGACTCCAACTCAAAAAAAAAAGAAAAAAGACTCAGGGCTCTGTGGAGGAGCCACAGTCGGGGTGACAGCCCTGGATGTGGGTGTCCCCTGGGTGGCCAGGAGCAGGCTTGGGAAAGCCAGGGCTGGGAGCTGGGCCTCTTTTTGGGGAGAGCAGGGAGGGTAACCTAGAGGAGGGGGAATGGAGGGAGGGCCTTGCAGGTTGAATGGATGTCTACAGGTGGGGCAGCGTGGTGCGTCACCCCCAGCCGTGGCCAGTGGGGTGGCTTAGGAGACTCTGCAGCACTTGACTTCCAGGAGGAACTGGTCCCTGGCCCCCAGGCTCAAGTGCACGTCTCAGCACTGAGCTGAAAACATTGCTGTCTGCTGCAACAAGGTGCCAGGCAGGCCATACCAGATGGGGAAGCTGAGGCAGGCTCTGTGATTTTGAAAGAGGGCTTTGAAGGATCGAGGGGGCACCCTCACTGTGCAGCCTGGTACTCAGCCCTTCCTCTTTCTGGGCCTCAGTTTCTCTGTCTGGACGATGGGGCTGAACAGCCAGCAGAGTGGTATTTGGGCAGCAGTTTGGCCCCATTCTAGCAGTGACATTCCCAGCTCCTTTCCAACCAGCCCCTAACCCCAAACACATAGTGGGTGACAACTTAGGCGCTGGGGACCCCAGGCACCACGCCCACCTCCTAGAGAGGGGAAACAGGCCCAGGAAGGCCAGGACATGGCAGGGCCGGCCACAAGACCAGCCCCTCTAAGCCTCTAAGTGGGGTCCTGGGTTACTGTTTAACTCTGCAAGCTGGCTGCTGCATTTCACCAGAGAAGCAGAAGGGCCATCCCCTTGGGGAGTGTCAGCTGTGGTGTCCCGCTGCTGGAGCATTTCTGGCTTTCAAGACATGTCCCCACTGTGGGTGGGCGTCAGGAAGTATTTGGGCAGAGGGGAAAATTGAGGCTTAGAGGGAACCCCTCAGGGATCACAGAGGCTGGGGGGGTCAGGGCAGGGGCGACAGGGTGAGTGGTAGCAGCTAGGTGTCCTGAGGCTTCAGGGAGCAGGGCGTGCAGCTGCTGGCCGGGTTCACCCAGAGAGTCAGCGCCTGCTGCAGACACCCGTGGGAGTGGCTGTGCTGACCCAGGCCCAGTCCCTGTCTCTGTGAGGCAGGGTGGCTGGGGATTCCGGATGGCGACAGGGTCACCCCAAAGTCGGATCACACACCAATGAAGCGGATCGCACACCAATGAAGCGGCGGTGAGATGAGGCTTCTGGGGACCCCTTGGTCCCAGAAATGCCATTTATTGTGCTTTGTCCACAAAGTAGCCTATTCAGGATGCAGGGACCAAAGTCCGGGAACAGTCCAAGGGTGGGGGTGGGGAGCGGGAACCGAGGATTAGGACGGCCTGTCCTGTGTGTACGTACTGGATGTGTGCAAGTCTTCTTCAGGAATGCAGGTGAAAAGGCCAGGGCAGAACAGAACTGCAGGGAGGCGGGCTGTGCACTGTTAAGGGTTCCACCGTGAAGCCACTTCGGGAGTGGACCCAGGGCCTGGCCTTTGCCCACAGGCCATGGAGACTGCTGAGGCCACTCAGGCCGGCCTGTCCTTCTGTTTGGCCGATACACAGGAGTAGGGAGGGGAAGCCTTTTACTCAGGGAAATGTACTCAGGTGTGGCTCGATCGCTCGTGTGAGTGGTCCACACATGACGCCTGCCCAACTGGGGCCTGCTTGACAAGCGTGCTTGCACATGCAGCTGGAGTCTCTGGGAGCCTCTGCCTCTCTTGCCAGAGGAAGCAGGGGGAGGAGAAAGGGCAGAGTGGGATTGTTAGGCCCAAATGATAAGGCAGCAAGGGAAATTTTACCTTTCAAGTGGGAAGAATTCTTCCCAGTTTGCAGAGGGGAAACTGAGTCCGGAGGTGGAACAGCCTGCCTGGCGTCAGAGCTGGGACAGGCTTTGGGGGTCCCCAATCCCATCTTCCTATGCAGCCCCCACCACCCCCAGGATGGGAAGAGAAGGGGCGGGTCTGCTGGAGAGGAAATTCCCTGGGGGTGGAGCCCCTGCAAGTTCCAGACTTTGCTCTTGGGGAGCGGCGCCGAAGCTGCAGACACCGCTGAGAGGAAGGCCAGTGCAGGAGGGGCTTGGCTGACAGTAGCTCCTGTCAACGGCCAAAAGGGCGCCGCCACCCTCGAGCGCCTCCAAGGATGCAGGGGGCCCGCACCTTCACACCATGGTCAGACGGGGGTCCTGCAGGCCCCACAGGTGTCGGGCTTGTTCCCTGCCGTCCTTCAGCTTGCCAGCCCTCCGGCAGCAGGGGCTTGGAGATGCCGAGAACCCGCCCCTCTGTCAGGGGAGGCTCAGCCGGTCTTGGTCTTGCTCTGGCATCTAGAATCCCAGTGCTGGGCTGGGACAAGATCCTGGGGGACAGGCGGGTCATGGGCACCTGAGGCAGGGCTTCCACTCTCCCGACACCCTCTCAGGGGCTTCCCTCCCCTAGCCTCCCCTCGGCTGGACTTTCCTAGGGCTGCCGAGGTGGGGCAAGCTAGTCAGGAGAGGCCCAGGAAGGGCACCAGGCCCAGCGGGACTGAGAGAGCACGCTGCCCATGTGACCTAATTCCACACACCCTCTGTGTGAACGTGTGACTGGTCTGATTTTATTTATTTTTATTTTATCTGATTTTTGAGTCAAAGTCCCACTCCATTGCCCAGACTGGAGGGCAGTGGCACGCTCCCGGCCACTGCAGCCTCGACCCGCTGGGCTCCAGCGATCCTTCCGCCTCAGCCTTCCAAGTAGCAGGAACTACAGGCACGCACTACCACGCCTGGCTCATTTTTGATTTATTGTAGAGACGAGGTTTCGCCAAGTTGCCCAGGAGGGTCTCAAACCCATGGGCTCAGGCAACCCACTCGCCTTGGCCTCCCAAAGTGCTGGGATGACAGGCTGAGCCACCGAGCCCAGCCAACTGGTCTGATCTTAAAAACTCATCAGTGGAGACCAAGGAAAATTGGGTTTCCTCTACATTTATTGCAACTGCTAAGTGATTAACAACATTCACAAGTTCTTAGATTTAGAAAACAAAACTTCCATTTTGTAACATCACAAATGTCTTCTAGGCTTTACCAAGAACCCAAAACACTAACATTCTCTAAGTGATTTCCAGTGACGGAAACAAGCCAGAGACAGTAAGCACCCAGAGTGGTCAGTTAGCACTTTCCGGATGCCTGTCGTCCTCTCTGGAGGGACCCTGGAACTAGAATGACAGAAAAGACACTGTGACTCTGACACGGCTGTGCCACTACACATCACACTTGACGCAACGCCCTACAGAGCAGCCTTTGCGGAGAGCAAGGGCAGCCCTGGTGGAGGGCGGGCACACAGGGCCAGAGGCAGCATCTTGTCCACGGCCCCACGCCCCCAAGCTCCCGGGAACACCTTCACCGCCCCGACGTGGAATCCACCGCAAAGGCGTCCTCTGAGTGTTTAGGGGACTTTCTAGGCTCAGAAGTAGGTGCTCCCTTTGATGCCTGCCAAGGCCTCCCAGAAACCATCTCCGCTCAAACCGGGCTGTCGCCAGGAGTGGCAGGAGGCTGCAGGGCGGCCACACGCTGGGAGTTCCTAGAGCACTGAACTTGTTCACAGACGAAAGTGGAGAGTCAACAACGAACACGCTGGGCCCACACACGCCCAGTGGTCAGAGAATGCTGGAGAGAAGGAGCTCCATCTGTGCTGAGGTATGTGCCTCACTCGGGGCCAATGGGGTGAGCCCTGTTCTCAGAGCACCGTCCATTCACCTGACCTTTTGGGCAACATGGAGACTGTTGGAAGGGTCAGCAAGGAAAGAAGATGAACCCCCGGACATGTGGTTCTCGCTAAACCAGCGGCACCCCGGCCCCCAATAGGCTAACTCATATGAGAGTCAGTTTGCAACCCGAGGTCTGTCCTCAGTGCCGCCACCTCCATAAAGATATACCTGCTGCCAAAGCAACAGAAGTGACAGGAAGCAGGCAGAGCCCCAGGGCTGTGGTACCGCTGGTGACAGGGGCTCAGACAGACCAGGTGGAACCCCAAGAGCTGGGACCACAGCCTGGGAGGTCTGCAGCTTAAAGAAAGCAAGGAATTCTTGACAGCCATCACAGCGGCACTTCCCCTCTGCTCTGTGGCTTACACCTAAACCATCGCTATGGTCCCATCCTGGAGTGCAGGCAGGACTGGGAGGTTCCCAGATATCAGCACATCCGTACAACCTCAGCCCCACTGCTTCATGAAGAAGAGCTGAGACTCTCGAGTGTGGCTGCAAGCAGTGGAGCACGGGGGTCTAGAAGGGTGGCGGCCACATATCCCAAGACAGCAAACAGCTGCAGCCAGAGCCCATGAGAAGCATGCACTTCCCCCAAAGGCTGTAAGACAGCGCCTCCCATGGCCACACGTGCCACACATGGAGCATTTTACTGGGCTTACAAGCCTGCCCCTTTGTCGGGAAGGCACCGTATGTGGTTTTAAAAAGAACCAAACTGCAGTTTGCTTACATTGTGGATGCTGAAGAGACCAATACATTTCTGCAGTTTTGTGGATTTAACCTTACTCCCCACCAAGCAGAGCTACACTACACTGCTGCTAACATGTCGTCAGCCTCTCAGGATGAATTTAGGAGATGAGATGCCATTACTGACATGTTCATCAAATCAAGTGTCTCAAACGTTTAGAGAGCTTCAGAGCTCTGGGCCCAAAGTGCAGACGTGGCAATTACTGATTTATCTTCTCAGTACAGACTCTGGAGAACAGTGGGAAACACCCCCTGCACTTACTTCTGCATCACTAACAGAACACCACTGGAGAGCAATGGCCCCTTGGACTGGAACACCAGCCAGAGCGCTTGCCCTCAGCACCTACAGGCCGAGGAGCCCTCAGGGGCAGCGCACCTTCTGAAGAGGAACCAGGACAGACTTGAAAGGAACTTGCTGCCACAAGCAGGTGGAAGAGACCGGAAAGGCAAAAGCACATGGGAAATGGTGCATTCTTTTTTAGAGAAAGAAAAGCTAGTGAAACCTCCGCCCCAGAGACTGCAGAGACGCTTGTTTGCATGTACACACCAAACCGTACGTGGGCACTGGCTCCGGGCAGGTCCAGGGCAGGGATGATGTTTTAAGGGTAATTGCTGCTTCAAGGTTTAGCTTTCTCATCAGTGGTTTTGATCTATTCAGGAAGAGAATGGTTCTGTTCAAAACTGAGTTGGAAATGATGGGTGGGAAGGGCAGCTAAAAAGAGAGTAGAAAGAGGGGGTATTTATCGGCCCGAGGACCTGCAGGAGGAGGAGGACGCGGAGACCCTCAGAGCGGGACGCAGCCAGCTGCCACTCCCTGCAGCAGCCTCTGCATTTGCTCTTGCACTTGCACGCCAGCAAGGCCCTGCGGACTCCAGAACAGCCTGCTTACTAGTCGTATTGTGTGGAGGAGGCCCTCATCTCTGAGAGGAAACCTGAGCAAGGAGGGGCCAGAGGCAGCCTGTTTTTACACGTGCATCCGCGGAGCCCGGACAGAAGCTGCATGGGGCAGGCTGTGCAGGCCGTATGCCACTGTGCTTGGCTAGCATGAGGCTTGCCCCTTCAGCAAACCTGGAGGCAGGCATGAAGTGGGACACAGCTGCATCCAAGGACACTTGTTTCCCTCACAGAATTTTGTGGGGTTTTTTGGGTGGTATTTTGATGGCTGTTTTTGGGGGAGTTGGGAGCATCAGCTTTCTGGGGGAAAAGTCTCTGCATGTCAGTGGCTCCTGAACATACCTATTTGCTGGCCCGTTTGTGTCTGTACATCTGCATCATCCTCTGTCGGAACACGTCGAAGGTGTCTTCCTTGTGCTCCTGCCCATCGGCACCTAGCCCTTCCCCTTCTGAGGCGGTACCCCTAGGGAGTGAAATGGAGAGTCAGGTGTGCACCTGAGCCAGGGCTTGGCGCACCAAGAGCTGCATGCAGGCACGAGCGAGCTGTGAGATGCAGGTTCTTGGGACACACGACAGAGACATCTGAGAAAGGGAAAATCAGGACATGACACAGTGGAAACAAGGGATACTCACCCAGAAGTGCTGGCTCTCTGAAGGGGTACCCCAAAGGCCCTGATTACTGCAGATACCTTACCACAGGGGCTACATTCAGTGTTAAATAAAATGCCTGCTGGATGTTATTAACAAGTTTTAAGAAACTCTGACTGAGCTGGGCTCGGTGGCTCAACCTATAATCCCATGCCTTTGAGAGGCCGAGGTGAGTGGATTGTCTGAGCCCGTGGGTTCGAGATCCGCCTGGGCAACTTAACGAGGCGTCATCTCTACAATAAAATCAAAACGAGCCGGGCATGGTAGCACGTGCCTGTAGTTCCACCTACTTGGAAGGTTGAGGTGGAAGGATCACCGGAGCCCAGCAGGTCGAGGCTGCGGTGGCCGGGAGCGGCCACTGCACTCTGGTCTGGGTGACAGAGTGACTCCGACTCAAAACAAAAAACAAAAAAAAACAAAAAAAACTCTGGCTGGCCTGATATGGATTCTTAGGAAAGGAAAAGTGGTTCCAGGCTAAAACTACCGAGAAATACCACTTGGCCACAACAAAAAATGTGGCCAAAATGATCTGGGCTGAGAAACTGGATGACTACATAGCTAGGTGTGGTGGCTCACACTAGTCATCCCAACACTTTGGGAGGCTGAGGCGAGAGGACTGCTTGAGCTCAGGGGTTTGAGACCAGCCTGGGCAACTTGGCGAGACCTTGTCTCTACAACAAATCAAAAAATTAGCTGGGTGTCGTGGCATGTGCCTGTAGTTCCAGCTACTTGGAAAGTTGAGGCAGAAGGATCACCTGAGCACAGCAAGTCAAGGCTACGGTGGCCGTAAGCGTGCCACTGCACTCCAGCCTGGGCAATAGACTGAGACTCTGACTCCAAAAAAAAAAAATGTCTAAACAAGGACAGAAAGGAGCCCTGTAAACACCTACATTGTGTAAATGATCAGCATTTCATCTAAAGACTCCTTTTGTATAAAAAAAAAAAAAAACAACACAAAACAAGCACACAACTACCAGCCTCACGCTATCTTTACCACAGGGGAACAAAGAATCAGGCTGCAGGTCAAAGGACTGAGGTCCCAAGCCCGCCCACCCAGGCCGAACGCCTGCTGCGTACACACTGATGGGCTCCCGGATGCCCTTCCCGAGGGAGCCCAGGCCGTGGCCTTCCTTCCAGCCCATCTTCTGCAGCATCTGGAAGCCCAGGTTCTTGTCGGTAAGCTTCTGCTGGGTGAAGTCCAAGTCCTTGGGTTTCTGAGGAGAGAGAAGAGTCCAGGCATGTGGGCCGCAGGGAGTGCCTGGAGCAATGGGTCTGCCTCAGGCTGTGCCTAGACCACCCACCAATGCCCTTCCAACTCCCAATGCCCTCCTGACTTCCCAAATACTCTGTTCACCTTCCCAGTCCCCTGTAACATCCTGGGTGAAGTGGGATTTTTTTTGAGTTGGAGTCTCACTCCATCATCTAGGCTGGAGTGCAGTGGCATGCTCACGGCTGCCCCAGTGTAGACCTGCTGGGCTCAGGCGATTCTTCTGCTTCAGCCTTACAAGTAGCCAGAACTACAGGCGTGTGCTATCATGCCCAACTAATTTTTTTATTGATTTGTTGTAGAGACGGGGTCTTACCAAGTTGCCCAGGCTGTTCTCGAACATGTGAGCTCAGGCAATCCCTTTACCTCGGCCTCCCAGAATGCTGGGATTATAGGCTTAAGCCACCGCGCCTGGCCTGGAGTGGGATTTCTATAGTTCAGAGGTCACCAGCCTGAAATTTCCCCACAGACTGGAACCTCAGGTGTGGTGGTTCTCATTCCTGTCTTCAGGAACCACTACAGTCCTGGTGCTAAGACTGGGAGAAAAACCTGCAAGGGAATGACAGGTCTTGGGACCAAGGTATCACTGAGAAGAGCCCTGAGTGGAGACCTGGATAAAGAGGTGTGGCCCTGTGATGATCAACTGGTATACTCCAAGGTGGGGGCACCAGGGCACAGTCCTGAAGGCAGAAGATCAGACAGTGGGTGAGAATTAGCTGACCACCCTCTACTGCTTTGTTTACTCCTGGGTTGCCTGCCTGTCTCTGTCGTAAGGATTGGGCTCTACTTGGACATTGGGGTCAGTGTCCAGCACACAGCAGACCACGCTGAGAGCTGGTGCAGCTGAGAAGGGTCCCATAAGTGGTAGGGAGGCTCAGCATCTCCATGAGACTAGATGGAGGTCTGGGGGTAGATGGGCCCCTGGGGCCTCGGGAGGAGGAGCTTACTCAGCTCTAGGGAAGGACTTTCCACTCATGAATATTTATGCGCACTCCCTGTGTAAGGGAACCAAGCTGGGCAGCCTAGGACTCTGCCCTAGGTTTCTTTTTATTGGGTCCTGAGGAGTCAACTTGATGTGTTTTCTTGTTTCAAATTTCATTATAAATTTTATATTACAGATGGTCTCACTCTGTTGCCCAGGCTGATCTCAAACTGGCTTCAAGTGATCCTCTTGCTCTGGCCTCCCAAAGTGTTGGGATTACAGGCGTGAGCCACCATACCCAGCCTTGATGTATTTCTTAAAATTTTTTAGAGATGGGGTTTTGCTATGTTGCCCAGGCTGCTCTCCAACTCCCGGGCTCAAGTGATCCTCGCACTTCAGGTTCCTGAGCAGCTGGGACTATAGGCATTCACCAACCACCTCAGAGACCTGCCCTATCATATCATGCGGGCCTTACAAGGTGCAGTTCAGTCAAAGGACAAACCTCCTCTGGCTGCTGCCATGGAGAGGCCCAGGAATCAGCTTCCACAATGTTAGGGGCGCACAGGGGAGGCACTCCAGAGACAAAGAGCTTGGAGGAGACAGGGCAGAAAAGGCTGGGCTTGGGTGACCCAGCACCCACCTCTGGGGGCAGAGAGGAAAGGGAGGAGGGAGGAGTCAGGAGGGAGAAAGGGAGGGAGGAAAAAGGGAGCGAGTGCTGCCATGAGGAGGGTCTGGGCCTCTGGGCCTCTTGGGCCTCAGTGTTCTCCCCCTAGATGGGGACAAAATAACCTGAAAAGGTGCCAAGAATTCAACACAAAGCAAGGCGTCAGGGCCCAGAAGTCAATACCACAAAAGATGGCATGCTGACATGCGAGACGAAAGAAGCAGCCTCAGGTCTCTCTGACCTCCCTCCTGTCCCTCTGTTCTTCCCAAAGCACAAGAGGACTCTGCTCTCTGAAGTTCCCTTATCTACCCAGAAATTGGACCTACCAAAGAGTGCCTTCCATCCCTTCCCCAAAATGTCATTAACCAGAGAAGATTAAAACTCATAGCACAGAGGAAGAGGTGGTACATTAAACACCATGCCTGGAACCAAGACTGTTGGCTGCTCTCCGACTGCGTTCAATTCCTAGCAAGAATCACTCCCAAGACATCTGGGAGTCAGTCACCTCTCCTAGGATCACTGGCTTCGCCTCTAAAATTGCCTGCAGGCCCCCAGCCGCCCTCTCCCCTATGAAAAGGGTAGTAAGCTTCAACTATCTGGCCCTTGAGTTTTCATTTGGCTCTTGTGCTTAGGGCATGATAATATATTAGTAAATCTTTTGTTGTTGTTGTTAATCTGTCTATTGTCAATTCATTTCAACAGACTTAGACTTGAACCTTCAGGGGAGAAGAACATGCTCTTTACCCCTTCAGAGGCACCCCCTAAGGGGTGTGTGTATGCATTTATATGCATCTGTGAGTGTGTGTGTAAGTTATTCATCACAGGAGGGGGGGCAGGGGAGAAGGGGTGCACACAACATCAATAAAGGTGCCTGATTTCAAACCAGGTGAAGTGGGAACCAAAGGGAGGCCCAAACTTTACCTGTACAATGACCACATATGTACCTAACCCTGAATTGTACTCCACATCTTTAAAATTAAAAATAAATAAATAAGTTACTCATCACAGGCAGCCCCTTCATGCTGGCATGAGGTGGTGTCAGTAAGACATGTGGACAGAAGCCTCTCGGCAGGAAGGGAGGAGCTATATTGCTGGCTGGGACAGGACAGAGGGGACACAGCAATGCAAAGACATTGGCAGGCCAGGGGAACACCGCACAGAAGCTGCCACACTGGGAGGCCACGTGCCACCAAAAGTGGCCTAGAGAACAGAGGAGGCAGAACCCGCCAGCTGAGATGAGATATAGGAGGACATGCAGAGCCTGGGCCCCAGGATGGAGGAGGGGCAAGATGGGGGACAGGATGGCCATGGAGGCCAGGGCTTCCTAAATGGCAGGCCTGTACCTTTCCCCTTCAGGCTGCTTGGGGGTACAGTGGGAGGAACAGGAGTTGTTTCAGCCGGGGAGGATCTTTGTGAACGTTCAGTGTGCGCTGAACAAATAACAATGTCTGGGTCCCTAGAGAGCTGAAGGAAAGATGGGTTTGTGGCTGGGCTGAGTGAGCACAGAAGAGAGTTGTGCCACCAGGCCTTATCTTGCCCCATCTGCAGTCACTGGCAGGGAGGGCAGGTGCAGAGACCCAAGGAGAGAGCAGCATTTGCAGGACGCTCACCAGGAATCAGGTTATATTTAATCCCCACGGAACCTCCTACCTGCAGGCCAGGTGTGGCTGTTCCATTTTACAGACACAAACTCATAGGTTATAAGCCAAGGTTACAAAACCGATTGGTGGTAAGGCTGAGCTTGAATCCAGCTGTGCCTGACTCCAAGGCCCAGTGGCCCCTTCACCCGGCTGTGCCCTCACCCAGGCCACACAAAGGGGAACTGGGTGCCAGTTCAGCTTAAAACCCAGCATACCAGTCAGGGCCATGAGCTCCAGACTCAGGAAGGTCCTTCTTCCTTGCTGTAGCTGGGTTCAGACTGACCTGGGCTGCTCTAGAAGGGGTCTGTCTGACATCAGCAGAGCAACCCTGCCCAGCTCCCTGACCCCCGTCGTTGACCACTAAGGACCAGTGAAGCCTCCCGCCTGGCCTCACCTGCTCCCGGCAATGTATGCCCCCGCTATCTGGAGAGTACCCACCCCCTTCCCATGACCTGCCCCCACATTGGCAAATGCCAGCTCCATCCTAACTTCCCAGGCTGACCGCCTTGGGGTTTCCTGGACGCTTGGCTTTCACTCTTCCACGCCCAGCCCACCAGAGAGCCCCCTAACGCCACCTTCACCCCTCCTTGTCACTTCCTCATGTCCTGGGCCAACTGCCCTAAGTCTGAGCCTCCTCCTGGCTCCCCCACTCGGCCCAGGTCCCTGCCCCACACAGGCTGCTTTCCACCAGTGATCTTGTCTTCTGCCTAAGCCCCCAGCACAGGTCCCTGAAGGCCTCCCACAGAGACGGGGTCACGATGCTGACACCCGTCTAGGTTCTGCATGACCTGCAGCACCCCCTCCACTTGTCATTTCTTTTTTTTTGTTTTTGAGTCGGAGTCTCACTCTGTCGCCCAGGCTGTAGTGCAGTGGCCGCTTCTGGCCACCGCAGCCTCGACCTGCTGGGCTCCGGCGATCCTTCCGTCTCAGCCTTCCGAGTAGCCGGAATTACAGGCGCGCGCTACCACGCCCGGCTGATTTTTTGATTTAATGTAGAGATGAGGTCTCGCCAAGTTGCCCAGGCGGGTCTCGAACCCACGGGCTCAGGCAGTCCACTCACCTCAACCTCCCAAGGCGCGGGATTACAGGCTGAGCCACCGAGCCCGGCTTTGTCATTTCACTTCTGCCACAATGGCCTCTTGCTGCCCTGGGCCTCTGCCCAGGCTGTGCCCTCCCCAGATCGCCACATGGCTCCTCACCTCCTCCAAGCCTGTGCCAAAGTCACCGGCCAGGGGACCTTCCTGATTTGATACCCTGATTTATCCCCCACTACAGCTGACTCCATCTTACTTCCCCCTCCCCTTCACTTGCTTCTCTCAGCCCACAGCACCCTGATGACCCTCTGCCCATTTCTGAGTCCCAGTCGGCCCTGCTCACTGCTGCCCCGGGTAAACAGTCAGGGCCTGGCACACAGGAGGTGCACTCTCTGCACCGCAATTAGCCTCCTAAGCTTGAACTTCTTCACAGCTGAGACATCATGCTCACCTCTCAAATCCCACTGCACACATCAGGCCTTACACAGCTGGGCCATTACACTCCTATGCTTTGGGCAAAGGCAAGACAGTTTTAAAAATGTCGCCAGAGAAAACTCTGTTGTGCTTCAGACATTAACACCTCAGTGTGAAATAGAGTGCAGCTTATTTTATTTATTTATTTATTGAGTTGGAGTCTCACTCTGTCGCCCAGACTGGAGTGCAGTGGCCGCTCCCAGCCACCGCAGCCTCAACCTGCTGGGCTCTGGCGATCCTTCCGCCTCAGCCTTCTGAGTAGCTGGAACTACAGGCACGCGCTACCACGCCCGGCTAATTTTTGATTTATTGTAGAGATAAGGTCTCGCCAAGTTGCCCGGGCAGGTCTCGAACCAGCGGGCTCAGGCAATTCACTCACCTCGGCCTCCCAAAGCGCGGGATTACAGGCTGAGCCACTGAGCCCGGCTGAGTGTAGCTTAATTACAAGCTGTGGTATCCTTTAAAACTGCAACAAACTCCGACCAACTTCCACCTGAGTGAGGACTCACAAATGATTAAGCTCACCTTCTTTTTGGACATGGGACGACCCCGAGGTCTGTCATAGGCGATTCGAACTGGCTCATGGACTGGAAGACAAAAGAAAGATATACATACACGCACACTCTTTCCCCAAGTTACTCAGCAAGAGACTGAATTGCAGAGTCTTGGCTAACAGCCCTTCTGATGATGATAGGTGCCCTATGCCCGGCATGGCAGCCGCTGGGCCCCAGCTCCTCTCAGGAATGGCCTTGACACATGGAGCAAGCACAGGGCTGGCACATCCAGAAGAGGTGGAGAAGGGCTCACTGAGGGTGCTTCACCTTGGAAAAGGATACTCAAACCCAAGACTCCCTACATTTATAACAGAAGACCTGATCCATGGATTATTTTCCATGACTACAGGAACATATCCTGCTTCAATAAATGAACTATTTTCAATGCAATGCTCTCCTACTTTATCCGCAGTTATCCCCATGGTAAAAAATTAAAGTCTACCCAGAACTCTCTAATTAAAAACTATGCTTCTCATACAGAGCAACAAATCACATTATTATTGAGTTTGATATGGAGGCCAGTTATTGTCTGTCCATATTGCCACACCCCTAGAGGAGAGCATAGCAAGGGTTTGAATGCTCCTGTATATACCCACATTCCTGAGAGTTAACAAGAGGTGTACTTCCTCTTGTCTCCTCTGCACTCCCAGTAAGTAACTGCAAAGAATCCTTAACTTCCCTGAAGACTGTGTCCAATTAACTGAGAGATGTAAATTCCTGTTTACTCCCTTTTCTTAGTAGTCACAGGTTTGAATAATATAGTATCAAGGTAACTGTAAGTCTTGTGATTTGGATAACTTTTGCGTATAACACGCAGTAATGTATGATGTCTTAGGCCTTGTTAACTCCCTTTACTCTATGGCAAGCCTGATTTAATGCTTCTGCCAGGTGTTACTGATAAGAAGCTGTGAAGGCTGGGTGCAGTGGCTCACACCTATAATAACAGCACTTTGGGAGGCCAAGGTGAGAGGACTGCCTAAGCACATCGGTTCGAGACCAGCCTGGGCAACTTGGTGAGAGCTCATCTCTACAATAAATCAATAAAATGAGCCGAGTGCGTTGGTGCATGTCTGTAGTTCCCAGCTACCTGGAAGGCTGAGAAGGAAGGATCGCCTGAGCCCAACAGGTCGAGGTTGCAGTGGCTGTAAGAGTGCCACTGCACTCCAGCCCGGGTGACAGAGTAAGATTCCAAAAAAAAAAAAAAGGTTGTGAGGTATCTCTGGTAACCAGTTCTAGGAAATGTGGACCATAAATGTCATTATTAACAAAATGCAGCTGTGACTTAAGTTCCATACAATGCTCTGCTAGTCACATAATCAATGTATAGGTACCAACAACTCTGAGCTTACAAAAGCAGACTGTAAAACTTGAAGGGTGAGCAGAACCATTTCACAAAGGCCAGAAGCCTGGCTCTGCTTGCTGGATTCAAATTCAGAAATAAACCTCTTTCTACCAGTTTCCTGCCCCTTGATTTACTGGTGCCGAGAGTAGGAGCCGAGCATTACTAAGACTCTAACAAGTTGGGAGTCTGTCGCTCAGGCTGGAGTGCAGTGGCACAACCATAGCTCACTGCAGCCTCAACCTCCTGGGCCCAGGTGATCCTTCCACCTCAGCCTCCTGAGTAGCTGGGACTACAGGCACACACTACCATGCCCCGCTAATTTGCAAAACATTTTGTAGAGACAAAATCTCACTATGTTACCCAGGCTGGCCTCAAACTACTGGGCTCAAGCAAATATCTTGCCTCAGCCTCCCAAAGTGCTGGGACTACAGGTGTGAGCCATTACACCTAGTCTATTATTTTTTTGATAAAAGGGAGGCTGACAGGTCTGGTTTTGTCTTCTCAACCACCCAATCAAAGAACTGAGAGCTTCCAAGATAGAAATAAAGAACTCCACTTGCCCTCAAGAAGCATATATGTAGTAGCAAGCATGTTAATGTGCTATCCACCATCTATGAGGTGTCTTGAAGGATGTAAGGGTTGCGGAAGAACAGTTCGCAATTCCAAACCCTGACAACACCAAGGTTTCCAAACACAAACCATGGGGACGACAAGCAGGGGGAACTGTAGAGCCACTGTTGCCTATTAATGTGATGGTCTCCAAGACAGAAAACACATAGGCAACAGTTTGATGCAGCCCCACCATGGGCGCCACCTGCTCCAACAACATCATAAATAGGTTTTGCAGGCTGGTCTGAAGGTGGCGAGTTATCTCAATTGTTCACAGTCAGTTACAGCTTGAACTCCTTATTCTACTCTCTCCCCTTTTCTCACTATTGCACTTGACTGGTCTTAAAAAAAACAAAAAACAAAACCAAAAAAAAAGGCTTTGCAGCAGCAGACACACATGAGAAACACCACTTAACTGTCTAGAGACACCTCAGCCAGCAAGGGGGGCACATTGTTGGCCCCTCAAAAGGCTGCATGCAATACAATTCCATGTACAGACAGTCTAGAAAAGGCAGAGCCTCAGGCCCAGAAAAAAGTCAGTGGTTGCCAGGGCCAGATGGGGCAGGGACAAGCAACAAGAGACCCTTTTTTCCCCAGCTTTGCTGGACTGGTGGGTTCCTGCCTAAGTGCATTTGACAAAACTCAAACTGTCCACTTGAATGGGGTACATTTCACTGCTGGCAAACTGAACTTCAGGAACTCTGATCCTTCCCACAAGAAAGCAAGAGACAGCCACCCACCACCAAGGCAGGCAGAGCAGAGACAGGTCCTACTGACTGCCACCTGTGACCAGTCCCACCCCATTTCACATCAAACTGTCACAACACAAAGCAGGTATCACTACCTTGGATCTTCCAGGGGCTCAAAAGGCTGGCTACTCCCCCAGGTCATGGGAAGGAAAAAGGTTAAATGGCCCAGGTCCACTCCCTTCCGTGGTCAGGGATGCCCTGCCGAAACTGGGGCAATAAGAGGAATGCCTAGTAGCATGTGGAGCGCTAGAAGCTGCAGGCCAGCAAAGAAGCATCTTCTCAAAGCAATGACTTCAGGCCACCTGGAAATGTGAGTCTCACCTTTACATTTCTAAGTGGTATGTGAAACTATTTCAGAACTATTTTAGATTAAAAACGTAAAGCCATAGGACCCTGTGCTATGTTGGCTATCCAAGGGCACATCCACCCACAGACCCCTGGAGGCATGAGTTTTGGTTGGTGGGCAACAGAAGGTAGTGAAGGAATTTCCAGGAGGTGTCATCCTATGAGACTGTTGAGGTCACCAGGAAGGCTGGCAGGCATAATGAGAGGTCAGTCTTGCAGCTGAGCTGGGGCAAGGGCAGGTACATTCTTCACCTGATCAGGCAACATCCCTGTGTCCACTATCTTCCATAATCCACCAACCAAGAACTGTGTGTGTGTGTGGGGGGGCCATTCCAAGAGGTGGGCACTCACCTTTTGGCTCCTGGATGAGACACACTCTCTTGGGAGCTGGAATCATGCCAACTTTCAAGGACTTGCTGCTGATCCTTTTCCGGGGGAAGCAGGTGCCTGAGGAGGCCTGTGACAGGGCAGGGGCTCCTGCTGGGTCATCCTCGGCAGCCTCACTGGGGAGGCCATCAGCAGGGGAGCTGCCCTCAGAGCCTTCAGATTTGCGGGCCCCTCTGTGAACAGGGGCCTCCTCGCCCCCTTCCTCATCCTCTTCGTCCTCCTCGTCCTCCTCCTCAGGCATCACCTCTGGGCTTTCCGGCTCAGCCTCCTGTTGAGGGGGCTCATCCTCAAGCTCTCCCTCCCTTTCCACGTGGTCTGAGGGACTCTCCTGAGAATCCACACTTTCACAGCCAGCATGGAGGGTGAGTGGAGATGATGTGAAACAAATCGACGGGCACAGTTCAAACACTTTCTTCCGATAGAACTTGAAAGCGGAACTATTTTGGTCATGTAGAAACCTTGGATGTAGATGAAATAATGGGTTAACTAGAGGGAATCTCTGAACATTTTATTTGCTGAAACTGCCTGGGATGGATCCAACGAAGTTAAGGGTGGGACAATGGGATGAACAACCTGAACTCCTGCAGTTATGGTTGATGATATAGCTTCTCGGTGAGATATGCTTGAAGAATACTAGTACCTTAACAAGGGGCCAGAACTGAAGAGACCTGAATGCTTTTCAGGGGAGGGAGGTGGAGGAACGAGGTATGCGGGATGACCTGGGAACATGCTGGAACAGAGATCCGGCCTGGGCTCCACCTCACCCTTTCTGGTTATTTCACTGGCCACTGGGTCTTCACGTGCCCATTTTGGTTCTCTAGTTTTTCCCACACTCCCAGGTATAAGAAGCATGGAAAGATGCCAGCAGACACTGTCCAGAAGCTGCTGGAACATGCATACCACAGAGCTATGGGATATCCCCAGAGGAGGGCCCATCACCTGCAAAGTAGCTTTATGGACACGGCGATGAGGCTCCTCTGCACCTTCCAAGTCTGGCAGCCACCCGGACCTGTAACCTCAGCTGTGGGGCTATGGCTGGTATGAGATACTTCAAACACTCCCGGAGGCACCAAAGTCCACTTGGACCAGAGGAAAGACAGTCCTTATTCTTGGATAGGGCAACTCAATCTCATAAAGGTGTCAATTCTCCCCTAATCAGTGTATAAATAAATCACAATAAAAGCAAATTTTTCTGTATCAGTGCAAGATGAATTTGAAATCCATAAAGAAAAATATGCAAGCATATTTGGGAAAACTCTGAACAAGACCAATAAGGGGTTCTGGTCCCACCAAATACTACCAGATGCCATAAAGCCTTGCGGTCCATAACACAGTTAAACAGTATAGGGGTCCATGACACAGACCAAGGGAATGGAATAGAAATACCAGAAACAGTATTGATGAAGGTGGCCTCTCAAACTACCGCAAAAAATGGGGTCTTTTTAATGAATGGTATGGGAACAACTGCACAGCTTTTTGGAAAAATATTTGAATTAGATCCATACTTTATCCTCTGTGCCTGGAAAACCTTGACACAGACTGGGGATCTAACTGTAAAAAAACAAAGCCATACCAGTTCTATAAGAAAATATGTCTTTGTCTTTACAAGCTGAGTTTGGGGAAATTCCATGACTCAATATCCAGGTGTAATAAAAAAATAAATGAGTAAATATGACTACATAAAACACTTCTGAATCGCAAAACATACCAAAAGCAAAGTGAAAGATAAATGATAAAGTAGAGAAAAGTATATAAAATCAAGAAAGAAAAAGTTCAAAAACCTAATAGAGAAAAGGGCAAATTTAAAATAATGGACAAAAATAAAATATTTTTATTTCTTTTTTTTTTTGAATCAGAGTCTCACTCTGTCACCCAGGCTGGAGTGGAGTGGCATGCTCTCCGCCGCTGCATCCTTGACCTGCTGGGCTCAGGTGATCCTTCCGTCTCAGCCTTCCAAGTAGCCCAAGTACCTGGAACTACAGGCGTGCACCAACACCCGGCTTATTGATTGATTGATTGCAGAGACCAGGTTCTGCCATGTTTCCCAGGCTAGTCCTGAACCCGTGGGCTCAAGTAATTCTCTTGCCTTGGCCTCTCAAAGTGCTGGGATTACAGGAATGACCCATTGCAGCCAGCCAATAAATAAAAAAAATTAGTTGGGCGTGGTGGTGACCACCTATAGTTCTAGCTACTTGGAAGGCTGACACAGAAGGATCACCTGAGTCTAGCAGGCTGTGGTAGCCGTGAGTGTGTCACTACACTCCAGCCTGGGTAACAGAGGGAGACACTGACTCAAACGACAACAAAAACAAGTAAATAAATTACCCAATGAAAAAAGAAAGATCTTAACAGACACTACATTTAAGAAATATGGAGGCTGGGTGCGGTGGCTCATGCCTATAATCTCAGCATTTTGGGAAGCTGAGGTGAGAGGACTGCCTAAGCCCATGGGCTCGAGACTAGCCCGGGCAACTTGGCAAGACCTCATCTCTACAATAAATCAAAAAATTAGCTGGGCATGGTGTGTGTGCCTGTAGTTCTAGCTACTTGGAAGGCTGAGGCAGAAGAATCACTGAGCCCAGTAGGTCGAGGCTGCGGTGTCCCGTGAGCATGCCACTGCACTCCAGCTTGGGCGACAGAGTGAGACTCTGACTCAAAAAAAAAAAAAAAAGAAATATGGAAAGTGCATATTCACAAAGATGCTCTGTACCATTCGTCCTCTTTTTTATTTTTAAATTTTGTAGCGACAGGGTCTCACTATGTTGCCCAGGCTGGTCTCAAGTTCCTGGCCTCAAGCAATCCTCCCACCTCAGCCTCCCAAAGTGCTGGAATTACAGGCATGAGTCACCGCGCCTGGTTGACCATTAGACTTCAGAGAAACATAAGTAAGAGTCATAGCAGGGACCCGCCCCTCCCCAGTACACACTAGGATAGCTGACATTGAAAGACGGACAATATCAAGTGCTGACATAGGGAAAACCCAGAACTTTCATCCAGGCTGCTAAAAATGCAAAATGGTTCAGTTATTTTGGAAGACTGGCAGTTTCTTCAACATAGACCCTCCAAGGGAGTCAGATCCCCTGCCACAACCACCCCCAGTATTTAACTAAAAGAAATGAAGGCAGGTATCCATACAATGACTTTACACAAATGCCCACATTAGTTTTATTTGTAACTCCCAAACTAGAATCTCAAATTCCAACACCAGGTGGAGAGACAAGCCTTGCAATGGAATTCTACCTGTAATAAAAGGGAATGAACTATCAGCACAGGGAACAACACGGCTGAATCTGAATAGTTACACCAAGTATGAAGTCAGACTAAAGAAAATTACATACTGCATGATTCCATTGATACAAAATTCTAGAAAGTGCAAATTGATCTACAGTAACAGCTGGTGAGCAGTTGCCTAGGGAGGTGGGAGTGGTTGGGAAGAAGAAATGACAAGATGCCCGAGGAAACACCTGAGCCCAAGAGTTCGAGGGCAACCCCTTCAGGTCCCCCTCCCGCTGTGGGAGCTTATCTGTTCTCTCAATAAATCCTGCTTTCTCACTTTCCAGTTGTCTGTGTCCCTATTCTTCCTGGGCATGAGACAAAAACCTCAACCCTGAAGAGCTGCAACCAACACCATGAAAAAATAAATGTCTGTTGTTTAAGTTTAAAAAAAAAAAAAAAAAGGCTGAGGCGGAAGGATAGCAGGAGCCCAGCAGGTCGAGGATGCAGTGGCTGGGAGCGGCTACTGCACTCCGGTCTAAGTGATAGAGAGAGATTTCAACTCAAAAAAAAACAAGTTTGAGACCAGCCTGGGCAACACTGCAAGACCTTGTCTCTACCAAAATAAATAAATAAATAAATAAAATTAGCTGGGTGTAGCAGCATGCTATCTTGACTGCAGTGATGGTTTCATGGTGTACTTCTATAGGACACTTAAATATATGAAAAGATGTTTCACTCATAAGAAAAATGCAAACTAAGAAATAGAAGTTTCTCACTAATTCTCCTGGCTCAAAAGCACATTTAAGGGGATGGGCCCTCCCGGCGCTGCTAGGCATGCGGAGCCCCACAGGGACGAGAGTATGCATGGTCTAACAAAAATGTACTACCCTTGGGCCCAACAATCCCCCTTCCTGAAGATACCCAAGATTCTCTTCTGCTATGGTTTGAATATTTGTCCTCTCAAAAACTAATGTTGAAACTTCATCCCTAATGTGACTGGGTCATAAATTATTAATGGATTCACAGGTTATCATAGAGCAGGACAGATGAATTTGTAAGAGGAAGAGAAGGCTGGGCGCGGTGGCTCGCACCTGTAATCCTAGAAATTTGAGAGGCTGAGATGGGAGGATCGCTTAAGCCTAGGAATTCGAGATCAGCCTGGGCAACAGAGAGAGACGTTGTCTCTACAAAAAAAATAATAAAAATTAGCCGAGTGTGGTGGTGCATGCCTGCAGTCCTAGCTACTTGGGAGGCTGAAGTGGAAGGACCACCTGAGCCCAGGAGGTCAAGGTTGTGGTGAGTCATGACTGTGCTACTGCACTCTAGCCTGGGTGACAGAGACCCTGACTCAAACAAACAAAAAATGAAGAGAGACCTGAGCTGACATGATGAACTGCCTCATCACGTGATGTCCTGCATTGCCTCAGGACTCTGCAAAGTCCCCACCAGCAAGAAGGCTCTCACCAGACTCCAGAACTGTAAGAAATACATTTTGTAGCCAGGCTTGGTGGCTCAGCCTGTAATCCTGTGCTTTGGGAGGCTGAGGTGAGTGAATTGCCTGAGCCTGCGGGTT